TTTGAAAAAAGGAATAATTCACAGACAGAACTTGAAAAATTACCTTCCATTGGAATTCCTTGTATTTGTTTAAAAATGCTATTGTTAAATTGAATAAAATTGAAAAGCATGCATGAGAAAAAGTTGCCATTTTTCGGTACTTATTATTGTAGAAATTTTCGGAAATAAATCCAGTAGAGCAAGTAAGCTTGTATATATTTCTTCAAGTGGTAAAGTAGTATAGAGGTTTTCAAAGTCGTAGCATTGGATACGGTCTATTCAAAGTGAATTTATAGTTTTTAGAACTAGTTCGTTACTAGAAATCATCCAGTTGCAATGTAGATCCTTAAAATCATAGTTATTAATTAGGTCACGTATTAGGCGAAGTTTTTGTGCAAAAAGATAATCTATTTCTTTAAGATAACTTTTGGTGCTATTGGCTATGAACTTGCATTTAATCGGAGACTTATGGAATTTTGGTAGTGCATAGAGATTGGCAAATCTGTTATTATATTTCCGGGGATGTATTTTAAGTCTTTTATGTAGTACGTTAAATTTATTGAGAAGAATTTTATAAAAATTACACAATTTTGAAAGCAATTTCGGTCTACAAATTGAGCAGTCAGCAGTCAGAGGGTTAGATCATAAATTACGGTTTCATATTTTTAATTGTATAATTTCTGCATGCCATCCTACCAGATTTAAATTGATGATCTATAATCCGGAATCGCCAAAGTCCCGATGAGCTCAGATTACGGACTTTGTACTGCATATATATATATATATAAAAAATATATATATTTTTGCATTAGTTTGGTTTCTAAAAGCACAATTTTTATTCAAATGCTTGACATATTATTACTATCTAATAGAATATGAAGAAATCCATACCTGCTCTTTTGTCATATCTGTCACTGAAACACCATCAAGAACAGCATAATTCTTAAAATGCTTCCTTCCAGTCTTTTTAATGGGCATTTTTTTCTACAAAGATAATAAATATTATCTGTCAGTTATGTACAATATGTTTAGGGCTTTATAAGCTTTACCACATGCAGAGTTATACAAAATGCTTTAGGTAAAAACAACAAAAACAACTTATTTTAAAAGTTCTGAAAATTAACTCATATTAGTATCTCAATACTTAGAACAAACGTATTTCCATTTATTTTCAGAAAAGTTATACAAAATGCTTTGGGTAAAAATAACAAAAAAAAAAAAAAAAAAAAAAAAAAAATTATTTAAAAAATTCTGAAAATCAACTTGGTAAAAATATATTTATAGGTTCCCCTTGGCGATAATTGGCGGTACATGGACACCGAGTTCGTACAATTTTTTTATTTGTTATTTTGGCTTTGTGTAGCGATTTTTGTGCAAAAAATCGTCACTACAAAAATCCAAAATAACAATTCAAAGAATTGTACAAACTCGGTATCCATGCACACATCGTACTATTTTCACTTAAAAAAAAATCAGAGAATCGCACAAACTAGGCACTGCGCACTCCCTTGACTTTGTCCATGTACACATCGATCTACATTCACTTAAAAAGTCAAAGGAGCAGCCAACAAAAAAATATATAATCTCAATAAACTACATTTTAAATCAAACAATGAAATACCGTATATACCCGCGTATAAGTCGATACACGTATAAGTCGACCACCCACTTTGACATAAAAAATTCGTAGAAAATAAGAAACCCGCGTATAAGTCGACCCCCCACTTCCGAAATCGATCGAGAAACTTCGAAATTTTTTTTTTTTTTTAAGTACTACATTTATTCAAAATCATCTGAGAAAAAAAGTAAATATATGATGAAAAATACTTTGGTAAATAAACAAAATCAAAATCCTTCAATGTCCGATTCGCCAAACATTTCATAGAACTCTTCTGTCGTCATTGGCCAACATATCCAAAACGCATGATAATTGGGGAAAAATGATCGTATATAGTAACCTTTTAGAATTTGTTCCGGAAAAGATTCGCATACGTAAAATCTAACTGCATTTTCCCTTTTTAAAAGAAATATTCAAAACTGTTCGGTTATTGCGTGGGCTATTTTTTAAAATTTTGACGTGTACGCCTGTTAACAAAAGTATTTCATGAATGAACAATAACTATTATAAAGACTTATACGTACATAAAAACTATCTGCATTTCTCTTTTCTTGGCGTGTTGGCAAACTTTTTTTATTGCTCGATATTGATTGGTTGTTCGGGGGCCGAAAATGTTTTGGTTTAATTGAAACTTGCTCTAGTTAAAGTATAAAACTCTGTGATTAGTTCGTCACATAATTTAAGTCAAGAAATTACTTCAAGTAAGTGACTTGTTTGATAAGTCATCCAATTTGAATGTGCAGGAAGAAAACAACTGCATTATATAAAGACATTTTTGAACTTCCGATTCTTTTAATTTTTTATGGCCCCGCGTATAAGTTGACCCCCCCCACTTTGAAGTCTCTTTTTTTTGTCCAAAATATCTCAACTTATACGCGGGTATATACGGTAACATAAAAAAGGAAATACATCTTAGCACTACACAAAGGAAATATCGACTTATCTTATTTACAAATTTCCATGTCTTCAGTCAAGCAAAATTCCTTAACAGCAACCAAAAACTTAATTCTAAAATTATATGATCTAGAATCTGTATACTATACTAGCATTGCCACATAAATTCACGAAAATAAGAGTAAAAAATATCCTCCATAAATGCCGGTATCCTCTGGCGTTCGACCATAGGCATTTCCTTCCTACAAAGAGGACACTTATAATGGTTACTAAGTAAACCTTCATTTACACACCAGTGAATTAATTATTATTATTATTATTTTTTTCTATTTCAAATTATACAGAAACTTTAAATTAATCTTACCACATTCAACCATTTTATCATGTAAACCACAAAATAAGAAACATACTTTCTAACCAACGTGCAACACACAAACAAGCCCTTACAAATCTTCTCCCATCAGCCAAATTCACCGCAATCATGCAACGAATTACATCATAAGAGGGTTTCCATAACATTCAACTACTCAGGTTACCATAAATGAAACAACAACTTGGCAATAATCCAAGGGGTACCCTTAAATATAGGCTAACCAAAACAATAATAGATTGGAATAATTATCTGCAAGAAATTCGCACTCACAGCATTCTAAACACAGCTTCCGGTAAAATCAGAGGACCTAACAAAACAGTAAAAATTGACAAAACCCTTTCTACGAAGGGCAAAATTAAGTGGATTTAATACTGATTGTTTATTAAAGAGGCTTCAGTTTCTTCAGAATTCTACAGGAAAGATTGACACTGACTTTGGTTTTTATCTGCATCAACTTTCATGGTTGGTAGGATAATACATAAGTACATAAAGGATAACTAACAAAGAGTAGATATCCCATTATTTTCATGTTTTTATTAAGTTTTTGGGTTAGCCTATATTTTATGGTGCCTCTAAGATTATTGCGAAGTTGCTGTTTCATTTATGGTAACATGAGTAGTTGAATGTTATGGAAACCCTATGATGATGTGATTGTGTTGATTGTAAGGGCTTATTCGTATACTGGATGTCAGTTAGGAAGTATGTTACATATTTTGTGCTTGACTTCTTAAAATCGGTGACAGTGGTATAGAACAAGACTGTGGAAGGTGTTTTTTTTTAAGTGGTTGACAGAAGAAAAGAAACTTTGTTGGATGTAATTCAACAAAATATTTTACCTGGAACAATGAAGATATCAAACTGCTGGAAGTCGTATGATTGTCTTTTTGATAATGGCTTTGTTCACTTCTCAGTAAATCATGCAGTGACATTTAAGGATTCGGAAACTGGAGTTAAGGAATTTTGTGTACCACATACTGAAGACACAGAAATTTCTAAATGTGGTAAGTTGATATTTCCTTTTTGTAGTGCATATATGAGATAACATGCAACATGCATTTCCTTTTTTATGTTATTTCATTATATGATTTAAAATGCAGTTTACTGAGTTTCGATTGGCTACGAATTTTGTTCAGTTTTGTTGATGAGTAACTTAAATATTATGTGATGTCCCATGCTCCTGATTTTTTTTTTTTTTTAAATGAAAAGAGCCTTATGCATAACTTTGTTTTAACATTATATGATGTCACATTCTCCTGATTTTTTTTGTTTTTTGTTAAGTGAAAACAGATCGATGTGTACATGGACACCGACTTTGTGTAATTCATTGATTTGTTATTTTGGTTTTGTGTAGCGACGATCTTGAAATTGTGCCTTGCTGGCCAATCGCCAAAGGGCTAAAATATATTTTTACCACAAAATTTTACGAACTTTTGATAATATCAAGTAACCTACTTTGGCATCCATAAAATTTCTATTAATAACAACTCCAAGTTCCAATTTATTGCCGCGATTAGCTTGCGCTATGCATGCTTTGTTCCAGCTATCTTTCTTTATAGTGTTTCTATGAGCGCTTCAGGTATTCAATGCTTCACAGTCAGTCCGCCTGACAAAAAACAAGTAATAAAGATCGACTGAAATCAACTATACGTGCAAGTCACGTTACTTCACAAACGTCTGAGTAAACACGGTACTCCGTGGTTTTCAAAATACAGAGACTCAAAACAAACTCCATGATAGCCATTCTGAGAAGAAAAATTCCTATCTAATATTTTTATCAGAATCTGAAGTTTAACACAAAATAAATATACAAAATATTATTAAAATTAATGTTAAAATTTCAATTATAATAGAAAAATAATATTAACCATGACGTAGTATATTCGTAGTTAAAAATTAAAATAAAATATCCCTTTAGGAAATAAATCCCAGGTGTGAGATTCTAAAGCAATTTGAACTTTATAAATTTAATAATAAATATATTAAGCTAAATGAAATAACTTGATAAAATTAAATTAAAATAATTAAAATTTTAGTTCTTGTTTATTAATTTTTATAATGCAGATTTATGCAAGATGATATTTTGCTGCTAGGAATTTCTTAATTTATTATTGGCCTCATGCCAACAGCCCAAATCAGGCAAGAAGTTTAATAGGGAAGGAATTTATGGGGGATGTAAACTGTAATAAAAAATTGTGGAAGTGTTTTTTTATGAACTAATAATAAAGTAATACATTGAGTGTATTTACGGTATGGCTGGTTACGACGAATTGTTACCTTTTTGGGATTGTATCTCGTATTTCAATTTCTAATTATTGTGATTGTTCCTGTATAGCTAGTTGTGATGTCAAAACTCGATCCACTTAATACGTTAAGAAATAAATCTTGTCGTAAAAGGAAGATAAATATTTATTTTGCGTATTTAAATATGGTGCGTATTATATTACTTCTTTTAAGTATATTTTATGTATTGAAGTTTTAAACGTATGGACTTAGAAGTGAATGAACAGATCTCGTTTTAAATTTCCAGAGAATTTTAATTCGATGAAATAAAAATTTTGATTATATATATATATTCTTCTGTTATATCGCAGTGTTTATCATGTTTCATGACATAAAATACTCCATGAAAGTAAATTGAAATGATTAGACATTTGTAATTTTTTTTTTTTCTTAATAGATCCTCTTTTTTTGTAATAATTTTCACCGATTTTAGGTGCTTAATTAGTTGCTGCTGAAACTGAAGTACGTAGTTTACTTACGTTGTTACCTCTAAACCTTAAATATTAATGCTGAAACTAAAAGATACACGTCTAATTTAAGTTAAAATATATAAAAAGCAGGGATTTAGATATCTCTCTCTCCTCTCTAATTTTTATTCTTCTTTCAGTATTTTCACAATGAAATTCAGTATTTTTTGTAACATCAGTAAAATACATACCTATAAATTAAATAAACGATTAAATTAACGAAATTAGATTTCATAAGTTCATAGGCAGTATTTAATCTATTATCTGTATAACTTATATTATTAATTTGTGCAATTTAATTAAAAGACTGTGTGTGTAAATTTAAGTTAGTTTTAAGGTATCTAAGTTGGCCTTTCAAAAGTATATCCTGTTTCATACGAGTTGAATTTCCTTTAATTCAATATGAGAAAATCTAATAATTGATACAGTAATTGAGTTACTCAGAAAGCAGTAGATAGTTTAATGCAGTAGCTAATTCTTCAGAAAAAAATGCTCAAAACTTAGGTATTGATTTATATAAATTAAGAGAGATTCAAAAGACTTGACAGGTTGCTGATCAGATTTATTGTATATTCAAATTACATTTTCAGGTTTTAGTGATCAGACAGACAAATAATAAGGAATGCTGTATTTACTAATTAAAAACTCTTCAATATGTATATACTGTGAATTTAAACATTATAATGGACAATTAAACTGTAATTGAATTTTTTTCGGGGAAAGTGCAGAATCGCCCACTGCTTGGCGCATTTTTAAGAATTGCACAAATATGTATTCATGTACACATCGACATATTTTGACTTGAAAAAATCCCAGAATTGCACAAAAATGCCATTGTGCACATCAACATATTTTCACTTAAAAAGTAAAAAAAAAAATTGACAAAAATCCAATTCTTCGTACTCTTGTAAAAAGCGCCAAACAAATAAGTGGATAATTCTGCACTACTTATATATATATATATATGTACGTGCATACGTACCTACATTCATTTCTAAATCCAGTCTTGATAACAGAAGAGTTCCGTATTCTTAATTAGCAAGAACATAAACAGTTAACAGTGGTTAAGAAATTAAAATGTATACAGTCAAAAGTCGTGAATCCGGACTCGTCGGGACTTCGGCGATTCCGGATTATCGATTTTTCCGGATTATAGATAATCAGTTTAAATCTGGTAAGATGGCATGCAGAAATTACAAAATTAAAAATATGAAACCGTAATTTATGAAATAAAGAACAATTATGATCTAAAGGGTATTAAAATTTACAAAAAGAAAAAGCTTAATATTTATTTGTTTACTTTATTAAACATTTCTTTCAATGTAAGTTGTTTAAGTTACTTCATTTCATGTGATAATACTTTCTCTTTAATTCTATTAAACAGACATAATTTCTTGTTTAGTTATAAAGTTCCGCTGTTCAAGTCCTATAATTGCTGTGTCGAGAATACCGACTAATTTGTCAATCGAAATTTTTTCGTTTTCTATAACCTCTGTCACTTTCTTCACTATCGGAAGCGAATTATAATGACAAGAAACTTGTTTTAAATCATATCAAAGACAGAGTACATCGAGATGAAATACTACATTTGGTAAGGAATTATAAGCCAAATAAAATAAAAACATCTGCCCTGAAAATAAGGATAGTGCTGACAGATCAACTTCCAATTCATTGCGTGCCGCGGCGTTCCCCCCGCCGAGCAGCGTGAATTAATAAACAGATTTCTGATTTCGAAACATACTTTCGCTTTAGATCCTTTACATATTAACAAATATATATCGGAAATTCTATTTGATATAATCGAAAGTTTAAGCTTACTTTTATAAAATTGCTCTAACAGTCTGCGAAAAATAATAAGCCGGATCCAATTCGAAAATTAAGGAACAACGCAATCTGCAACATTAACTGAATTAGATAATTTTAGCTTAGCTTACACCATCCGTTATACATTAAACGCGCATGCGTAAGCATTTTATGAGCATGAGCACAAGCATATTCGCAGCCGTAAAGGTCTTACGGGCGCACGTAAACGCCTACGCGCGTGCGTCAACGCTACGCATGCGCAGAAAGTTTGTAGCTTTGAGGTCCGGATTATAGATCATTCCGGATTATGGGTGTCCGAATTAATGTACAAGGTTGGTGTTAGGCTTTTAGCTATCTGATACAGTTTCTGTGGGTCTTGAATTCTACATTGAAGTTCCTTTATAAATTAAAAAAACATTTTGCCATTTCCAAAATTTTTGGTGCTACGTCGAATGTATGAGATATTTACGTTTTATTTCTATTACATGAGGATGTGAATTCGTAATTTTATAATAAATGTGATTTTTTGTTTGTTAAATGTATTATGAACTTTTATAATTATTAAAAATGTAATATTAAAGTGTAATGAATATATATTTAGATCATGAATAAAGCATTTAAATCAAATGCAATTATGTGAAATTTATTTAGCAAGATTTGGTTATTAAATTTTTAAAAATAAAAAAACACATGTTTATATTTTTAAAATATATTAACAAGTGTTCTTCCATTTTCTAGTGAATTTTTGACCAGTTATTTTTCATATTCAATTTGCATTTAGTCAATAGTGACAATCTAGTTTTCTTCTGTATATTAGCTTATAAACTTATGAAATCTAATTCCTCCTTGGGGTGGGGGAAGAAGTGCATAGTAATCATTAGTTTTGTAATTTCTGTTGTAATTGATGTAAGGTTAATTGATGGCCAAGTGATTTAAGCTACAAAGCATCATAGTTCACCCCACATTGTATTCTAAGTTGGATCAGGTTTTTGTGATTTTTCTTGTACATAAGGTAAATGGTCATCATTCTTCCTTTGGAAAAATACCTTTTCCGTAAAGCAAATAATCCGAGAGTACTTTATTATGATCAAAGAATGCGATTCTTATGTAAAGTATATTATCAGATGTACGTTTTATAAATTCATTATCCCAAATTCTTCATGACTAGTGATTTTACTTAACGCTTGTAACTGTACAATTCCTATTTTTTAACATTTTTATCCGTAATGTTGTTATGGTAGTATGCATTTTAATCTCTTATGTGTTGTTTTTACAACAGTTTAAAAAGGTATTACATAATTCCTTTTATAGTTCTTTTATTTTTAGATTGCTTTTTTAAGAATGTTTAAAAGTATTTTAATATAGTATTAGCTTGCGTTACAAATGGCGGCAGTTTTTAAAAATGATGATTTTTAATGGGAATTGAGGACATGACCTAATATATTTTAGTGGAATCTCATAAATGAACATATGTTACATCTGAGTAAAACTCTAAAACCGTAACATTTTTCTTAAACATCTATTTATGGTTTGTATTTGGCATAAAACTTAATATGAAAGATATTTTAATTGATATTAAATTTTATGCATTTTCAAAACTCTACATCATGTTATCAGCTGAATAATATATATGACATATATTTCAAAGTAAAAATAAGATGTATAAAATTTATTATTTCATGTTAATGTATTTTATTTATTTCCATCTTTAATTTAAGATATTGGTAAATATTAGGAATTAAAAATGTAAAGGTTGCTAATACGCTTTTGAAAATAATCAAAGAATTTGTATGCTGTCTTCTAATTAATTATTTCTTGGAAACCATAAATGTGCTAGAACAGTTCTGAAATACTTCCAAAAATAGTTGAGAAAAATTCCGATTGATTTTTTTTTTATTATATGTAGCAACTGATTCAGAATTTTGATGTTTTCAAGTTTAATTTTTTGCCTTGTTTGCGTAAGTTTCTGCTGAGTTTTTGTTTCTCCCTGAAATTAAAAAAAAATTTTAGAGTTGGAGAACCTATGCCACATTAGTATTTAATCAAGCTTTTTGATACTGATTTTCTATTAAGGCAAGTACATTGTGCAAAAAGAGGAAAAAAAAAAAAGGGCAGTTCTATATCTCCCATTCTACTGGACAGATTGATGAAATTCAAATTGCATTTTCCAGTGTCAAAAGCACGATATAGGATATATATTAGATTTTTAACACAAAATTAGACTTTTTCTGAAATGACATGCCAGTTTTTACCATATTTCGATTCTTCGAGTCAAATTAAGCCTGAATTTTAAATTTTGTAAAATTTGGTCCAAACTTTTTGGAGAAATTAAAAAATTTATCTTGGCCAATTTTTTTTTTCAATTTGTGGCAAGAATAATTGGTTGATCTTTACATTATGGTAACTTGGCGTTTTTTTGGCGAAAATTTGGCGACCAACTCTCCTACAGCAACCCTCTATTTTTTTTTTTTTTTTTTTTTCCCGCCGCCATTTTGTCTTCGCGAAGTAAAGACATGTTTTCTTTTCTTTTATCTACTGAACACTTCTTCCAACAATCTACTACTAGCCGAATTACACTTATGCTAGAAATTTTATCTAACAAAACTGCTTAATCATGACAAATATTCACTGCAAAATTGGGAAAAAGTGCACAATACCATACTCCTTACGCGTTTTTCAAAATACACACATACACATAAACCATGTACAACAACGCCGACTTATTTTTACTTAAAAAACATCCCAGAATTGCACAAAAATGGCATTGCGCACACTCTTCACTATATCCATGTACACCGCTTTTTTCTCATAAATTAGAAAAATTTCATGAAAATACATGACAATTTTCTCAATCTTTAAACCCGATAAAAAGAACATA